CAGGGCCCGGAACGCGGCCGCCCCTGCCCCCACGGGCGCCCGGGCCTCGGGAAGGTGAGCTGGTAGCGGCCCTGGGCGCTGGTAGGGGAAGTCTACACCTGCGGAGGAAGGTGAGGAGGGCATTGGAGGTCAGGGGCCCTGCGGTGCCCACCCCCTCGGCCCCCCTGGCGGCCAGGGTCTTGGAGTCACAAGTCGCGTTTGTGTTTGAAACGTCTGGGCAGCAGTCCTCCTCCGGCTGGACTGCTGGGGCGCTCCTCTATGCGGCAGGGGCCTGGGGGACCCTGGCCCACGCCCCGACCTCCCCTGCAGGAGGCAGGGCCCAGACAGGGCCCCCGGGGCACAGAGGCCTGTGGGCCTGGACGGTCAGCTGGAGACACCTGTGTCCCCAGGGTGCGCCACGCCGGTCCCGTCCTGACCTGTCCTCGTGGCCCTGGGATGGGGACAGGGCTCCCGCTTCTCTGGCTGCTGCCACGGTCCCCGAGTGACCCCCACAAGCTCAGGGGTGCGGGACAGGGCTCCTGCAGGCCACCATCACCGCCACGCGGTGGGTGCCGGACCGGGTGACGTCGCCCTCTTGGTGCTCAGTCGCGATGACCAGCCGTCTTCCTGCCTGTGAAAGGGGTGAGCGAGAGGGAGCAGAGAGGGTGGAAGGTTCCGGAGTCTGACTCCTGGGTCAAACTGACTGCCGCTCATGAGCTTGGTGACCTGGAGTAAGCTGCCTGGCCGCTCTGCGCCTCGGTTTCCTCCTGTGTACAGTGGGGTGGAGGGTAGCTGTCTGTCTGCTCCAGGCTGGGGTCCCCCGGGGACTCTCTCCCGGCAGCCCCCAGGCCCCACCTCTGGGCGAGGCCTCAGCCCAGCTCCAGCTCAGCACCCTCCAGCGGTGGAGACCTGCGGGGTCTCTGGGAGGCGCCCCACTGGCGGCCTGGTGGCCCCCGAAGGATCAGCATCACACTGGGCGGCACCGGGGCGTCCTGCTCCGGCCGCTCTCTGACGGCTCCCACCACTGGCCGCCCGGGCACCCCAGCCTTGGCCATATGGGACCTGAGGGCACGGGGGCCCCCACCAGCATCAGCCCCCCAGCACCAGCAGAGGGCAGCAGTGGCCGCCGCGGGGCTCCGCAAGCCGGGGCAGGAATTTGAGGCAGGTGGGGGCTCCCCAGACCGGCCCTGCAGGCGCCTCTCAGCCGGCTTGGGCAGATGGTGCCCCGGTGGGCGCTGAACCCGGCCCCTCCCTGAGGCTGTGGGGGCCACCCGGCAAGCTGGTGGCAGTAGGAGGTCCTCCCTGGCCCCTCACGAGGCCTAAACTCCCCCCAGGGGTCCAGGCCCCCACCCTGGGCCCCGCCCCGCCCTCCCCACACTTCTGGTCGGGCCACAAGGGGCATTTTGGCGCAATGCTTACTGCAGAGTGGCCCAAGCAGGGGGAGCCCCTCTCCAGCCTCCTGGCGCTGACCACCCCCAGGCGCTCTGCCCAGCCTCCCGCCCAGTGTGGCCACCAGCCTGCCGGGGCTGGCTCTGGGGTCAGGCAGTGGGCGCTGCCCTGGGAGGAGGGCCTGTGGGGTTGCCCCGGGCCTTGGGAGCGGGGTTCGCACCCAGGGGGCTCCTACTCCCTCCGTGCATTTCCCCAGGAAGTGGGGGCCCCGGCAGAGGCCGGCTCTGGGCTCCCACGCCAGCGGCCAGGGCTGGGGGACGGGCCGGCCAGGAGGGTGCTGACAGCGCGGTCATTGCCAGCAGCGGCCTTGCGGGCCAGTGGGTGGCCCCCGGACGGTGGCCTGTACTGAGGGGACGGCAGGATCTGTGGAAGAGGCGGCGCCGTGAGGGCCAGCGGCCAAGGACAGGGCCGGCGGCCTCGGCAGAGCTGCTCGCCCGGAGAGATGGCGGCAGGCGCCTGGGGTGCCCGGGCTGGTGAGCGGCCCTGACAGAGCCGCCGCCCCACGGCCAGCCAGCGGGGGACCCTCACCTCCCGGCCCCGGGTCACCGCGCGTCTTCCTCCCTGCCCGGGAAGCGGGCCTGGGCCGCGCCGCCTCTGCCACCCAGCGGCCGGGCCCCTGCTGCCCGGAGGCCCAGTGTGGCTCCCGGCTCGTTGCAGGAGTCCGCGTGTCCGAGCCGGTTCGCGACCCCCCTTCCCAGCCAGGGAAGCGCCGCTCGGAGCCGGTGGCCTCCACCCCTCCACAGGACACTGGCCTGCACGCCCCTACCGGCCACTTCCCCACGGCCTACGTGGGGGAGAGGCGGCCCTGGACAGCCCTTCCAGCCCAGGAGTGAACCTGCCCCTGACCTCCGGCAGCCCACGGACCAGGCGGGCCCGGCCCCCCCAACGCTGCACGCCGCCCTGGCCCCACAGCTGCAAAAGCCGCCCGGGGGTTCAAGGTGACTCTAGTCCTTCCCCTGGCCACTGCTCCAGTGACCAGGAAAATGGAGGTTGCCCGGGGGGCACCAGCTGCCCCGTCCTCCCAGCCCGGGGCGGGGAGGCCTGTGCCAGGCGCCTCTGGGCTCCTCACCGCAGGGTGCCAGGCAGCACCCAGAGGCCCAGGGCTGGGCCCAGGGCGGGAAGGCGGCCAGCTGGCTCCGTCCTCAGGCCGGGCTCCCCTGCTGTCACACCGTGTCCACAGGGACACCAGAAGCCTGGGCAGCGGAGGACTGAGGAGAGGCGAGCCGGCCGCCAGCCAGCGCAGGGCAGCCCTCTCCTGAGTGACTGGCGAAGGACCACAGGACGAGACTGGGGTGGGGGTGACATAAATATATTTGGGGAGCTGCCTGTGTACTCAGGGTGAAGAGCCGGCCAGGGGACCCCGCCCTCAGACGCCTGCCCAGATCCGAGCCCAGGACAGGGGTCAGGAGGTCTGGAGGGGAGGGCAGGGGGCGGCCTCTCGCCCAGGCGGGGCAGGAGGCGCGAAATCCCCAGTGGCCCTCCAGGCCGGGAGAAGGGTGGGGTGGGGTGCGGGGTGAGGAGGGGTGCAGAGCTGGCCCTGGCCTGCCAGACCCTCCCAGCTCCCACCCTGCCTGAGGGGGGCAGAGGGCGGGGGCTGGCCTGGGGGCACAGGCAGGGAGGGAGGGGTACGGCAGGCAGCCCACCCCATCGGCTAG